TTTTTTTTTTTTTTTTTTTTTTTTTTGCCATATTCTGTTGGCTGGAGCAAAAGAGACCCTTGGGGTGAGGTGTGGCTCACTGGGGTCACCTTAGGCTGCATCCAGCACCAGCACCTGCTCTGTACCAAGCATTTACAGCAGGGAGCCCACTTCACCCTCACAGTCGCCCTAGAAGACAGGAGCTCCTATGAGCCCATTTTACAGATAAGCAAAGTGAGGCCCAGACACTGGAACTTGAACACCCAGGCAGGCAGACTCCAGATCACCAATCCCAAACCTCCCTGCTCACCACCCCTGCGATCAGTTACAGACCCACAAACTCACATCACAGGGTGAACCCTGCTGTGGTGCCAAGTGTCGTCACAAAATGACAACATTGCTGTGGTCCCACCAGAGTCTGGAGCAAAATGCAGACATACATACACCATACACACTACACACACCACACACACACCCCCACACACAGCACACCCACACCACATACCCACACATCTCACACACACACACACACACACACCACACACACACTATACATATACTACACACACCACACACACACCACACTACACACAAAACACACACACACACCACACATCACACACTACACACACACTACACACACCACACACACTACACACACACTAGACACCACACACACACTACACACACACCATACAACACACACCACACACAAACCACACACAACACATGCACCACACAACACGCACTACACAGAACACACACACAACACACACACTACACACACACTAGACACCACACACACACTACACACACACCATACAACACACACCACACAAACCACACATAACACACACTACACACAACACACACACAACACACATACATTGCACACACACACTACACACACACCACACCCACACCACATACCCACACATCACACACACACACACCCCCCACACACACACCACACCCACACCACATACCCACACATCACACCCACACACACACACACACCCCACACACACACTATACATATACTACACACACCACACACACACCACACACTATACACATCACACACACACACCACACACACACTATATACTACACACACCACACTACACACAAAACACACTACACACACCACACATCACACACTACACACACACTACACACACCACACACACACAACTATACACACAGCACACACCACACACACACCACACACACTACACACACACTAGACACCACACACACACTACACACACACCACACACAAACCACGCACAACACATGCACCACACAACACGCACTACACACCACACACACACAACACACATACATTGCACACACACACTACACACACACAGGGCACCAAAAGAAAACAGACGCCCTTGAATCTCTCCCCAGGCTGGCTGTCTTCAGAACGAAAATCTCACACGCTAGATGCATCCGGCATATTCTGGAGGCTCCTGATGAGCAAGCATCTTACCGAGGCTGCAGGTGCCACGCTCCTCATCTCCATGTAACCAAGCCAAGGGCAGGTCTCATCCCCATTTTACAGGTGAGGAAACTTAAACTGAGGGAGGAAAAGTGACTAATCCCAAATTTCTAGCTTGGGCCGGGTGCGGTGACTCACATCTGTAATCCCAGCACTTTGGGAGGCCAAGGTGGGAGGATCACCTAAAGTCAGGAGTTCGAGACCAGCCTGGCCAACATGGCGAAACCCTGTCTCTACTAAAA